CTCTCTCTCTCTCTCTCTCTCTCTCTCTCTCTCTCTCTCTCTCTCTCCATCTCTCTCTCTCCTTCCTGATTACATGTAAGCTGTTTCCCTCTGCTACACTCTTCTGCCATGATGTTCAGGCTCACCATGAGCCCTGAGAAATAGAGCCTGCTGTCTATGGATTGAGACGTCTAAAACCACAAGCCCCCAAATAAACTTTTCCTCATCTACAATTGTTCCAGTCTTGTCCTTCAAGTCACAATGAAATAGCTGACTAAAACTGATATATTCCTTAATTTAAAAAAAATGAAAGGTCTTATCTACAGAATAAATTACAGTTTTGAAATATTTATTTTGATTCAGAAGCCAACAAAGCAAGAAAAACAAACACCAGCAAACACACACACACACACACACACACACACACACACACACACACACACACCCCTATCCTCATAGACCTTAATTCAAGAGAGGGAGATAAAGAAATAATTAAAATATAAAGTATGGCAGATCATTATATGGCAAAAAAAATAAATCAGGGATGAATTCTAAATACAATGATGGGAGGAGGAAGAAAGCTCACTTAGATGGTGACAAAAGCAAAGAGTTGGATAGGGTGAGATAGCAAGTCAGGTATATATACAACGAAAGGTTATTATGGCATAGATCTTTTAGAATCTTAGGGTGTTGGAAGGTAAAGATGCTGAATTCCTTTGTCATAAATAGGAAAATTTTGAATAATAAACAATGATTTTAAGAATAATTAAGTTTGCATCAGGGAGAAAACAATTTCATATACTGGTTTTGGTAGTCAAGTTTGTATAACCTAGTAAATTAAATCTGAATGTATACACAAAACCTTTAAATGTCTGGTAATCCTACTTCTTTGAATCTCTTCTGCAATACGCAGTCAGGGTATTCTGTAATATTTTATCAAAGAACAGAGAAATTGCATATAACTTACATTTCTAGTTAATCGATTAAATAAAATATGAACCAAGAATGGTGGCACATCCTTGTAATCCCAGCAACTCGGGAAGCTGAGCCAGGGAGCATCACAAGTTCTAGGACAGGCTTGGCAACTTAGCAAGAACCTGTCTCAAAATAAAAAATAAAAAAGACTGGGGATGAAGCTCCATGGTAAAGCACCCTAGGTTCAATCCCAGAATAAATGAATGAATAAAAAAATAAAATATGAAACCATAAATAAAGGAAATAACATTACCTTAAAAGTTATGATTTTAAATTGTATTTAAGAAGATGCAAATGATCCTGTGATTTTTTTACCTGAGGAATATGTTTTACTGATACATCTCCAAGTTATCAAGTGAATTACCTAACATTGAAGAAAGCAAATGTTTTACACTCATTCCTCCTTCCAGAAAAAATTTGCTTACATTTTATTGACCAGAAATGAATCACTTGATGACCTTTAATTTCAAAAAAGTCTTGAGGAAATGGAATCTTAACCTTTAATATTAAAGGAAAGAAAGACAAGGACATCTGAAAATGAGTGTTAAGCAAAACTGAAAATATGAAATAATTACCACGTTAAAAAACAGATTGCAAAATGATAGGTACATTAAGATCACAATTTATATATAATGCTTATATATGCTTACATATGTTATATATATGTTGGAAAATGCATAATGTCACCTTCATTGCAGAGACAGTGGTCCTTTCCAGGTTGTGGGTGAAGAGTAGTTTTATGTTTTTCTAAATAGTTTTTACGTCTCC